TCAGAGCTCACATGCAGGCTCTGTATTCAGATAGAAACAGACTGAACCAGAGAGCACCGTGTTGTCATCAGGGTATCAGAGAGGAGAAATGAGGTGAAGTGTGACCACAGGGAAGTTAGGAGAGGCAGAGGCAAAAGCTGCAAGAGTTCCAGGAAGATTCTGAAATGCAGATACGACACGATCATCTTACAGTGAAGGGCGAGGCAGACCGGGTGTGAGACTCTCCCGTCTGAACACACGTTACTCCTCCCATAAGAAAATGTAATAACTATTGTTCCCAACTTAATTCCTTAGCCATCTTCCTTCACAAAACACAGTACCGACTTCTCCTAAAATGAAGCGTGGGCATTGTTTAAGTCCTAGATGGCAGATAAAGCCGCACCGTCACCGCACCCTTGAATGTGACACCAGAGCAGCGGGCTGGCACCCCTTACAGGGCCTGACTTGACCCTGGTGGCCTCCTGTAAGTGAAACCTCCACTGATCAAGCGAAGTTGGAACGGGGGCCATGAATGACGGGGTCACCAGATGTTTATTCCCTGTCACCCACACCAGCTGCAACAAACAAGTAGGAAGAGAACTAACTTGCTCCTTGGGGGGGGCCTAGGTATTTACGAGTTTACTTTCACCTTAGAGAAAGAACGCATTTCCAGTACGAAGCACGGAGGAGCTAGCTGACTAACGCATGCAACCGAGGAGGGGGCTCGGGCAGGCTGCTGACACCCACGGCGTGACCTGGCATCTATCCAATGAGGCATGTTCCTGCCAGGCTATGGGGGGGTTGATGGGGCACACCCGTGGGTGGGGCTGTGATGACCTTGCACTGAAGGAGCTCCAGTGATTAGGCCTAAGGTCACGTTTATGTGCCAATTTCAGACAGCGTCCCTTTCATCATCCTGTTAGCCACAGAACAGACAGCACGCATGTAAAATGAGCCTTACTCCGTTCTGGGCTTCAGAAACGCGGCGATCGAGAGCTCACCCATCAATTTCATTCTAAGATCTCTGAACAAGCGTTTGCTGCTTTGGTAACCTGTGCCTGGTGAGCCCCTGGGCCATCTCTGTTAGGGAGATGGCAGGATCTAGCAGCCGCCTGCTCAGGCCAGGGGTGGCACGGGGTGGGGAGGAGGATCCTTGGAGGAAGGAAACATTCCGAAGGAAGAGAATATATTTGAAACTCATGCCACGTGAAATAGTGTCATTTTTACTTTATTTAAGGACAAAAGAGGGGAGAGGAGGAACAACAGTAATTTTCATAAATGCACAGAAGACGGGTTAGCGCTGAAAACAGAAGGCCGTGCGCGTACCTGCCACCAGTCCTGCTTTGCAGCTCTGATTAGTAAACGATGCAGCTTGTCATGTGCATTACTGTTTAGCAAATTTATAATTGGCAAAACTGGGGATTATGAATCACCGTAAGTGGACTACAACGGAGACAAAAGCCTAAATAACCCACAAAAGAATCACTTAAAAATAAACCATAAATACGTGATGCACATAGTGTAACAAAACCATTTTCTTCAGCACAACATGGGCGTGAGAAAAAGTAAAAACACTGCGCTCGATGCAGAGAGACTCTGCCTTAAACACAGAAGGGTATCACTTATTAAAGCTCTGACTAAACCTAGAGCCAGATGGGTATTTTGTTTGGAAGAGTTGTCATAGTTTTCCGTGTTCCACATTTAACGGTTTCAGCATAATACTATCTTCTGTTGATTTGGCCATCTTTGCACTTCTGTGAAGTCACTACCCTGTTAAAGGAGAAAGATCATCCCTTTCTCTAGAAGACATCGCGACAGCGCGCCATCTTTCACGGAGAAACCTAACCGGGCGCCTGCTTGAAGCTGTGGCAACACAGTCTGATCTACAAGGCGGGGAGGCCTCGGAGGGAGGGACACCACGGCCGAGCAAAGCACACCGCAGGCACACCCACCCAGGGGACCAGTGGCCGGCTGACCTCGGTCAGCTAAGCCCCGCGATGGATTCAATCACGTTCAACTCCAACACCACCAGGTGCTGCCCAACTAGGACAGGCCCACCCTGACCTGAGCTTGGAGCCCATCGCCCCTGAGGGAAATGTGGTTTTTTCAAGTTCTCAGTACTCGGCAATTCCAATGAAACACCACTTGCATGGTCCATGTCACAGCCCTTGACTTACAGACACTGAGCTTCAAGCCTGGATGATGCAGACCGTGAGGCCTCATCCCTTTTTGTATCTTCCATGTGGGTATCAGAAGTTTAGTATTTTTTTCAAAGACACCTGCCCAACTTTTACCTTTCGCTAAAGTCATGGGAGGGGGCTACAACTGACCCCGCCACGTGGTCCTTTCTCCTCCTGGTGCACGTATTCACTGAGGCACATTTCATCTTGGGTCAAAAGTCAAACCGAGTAGGGAATCGCCAGCAGTGATGTGATTGTGACTGCAGTCCTGTGGTGACGGAGTCTGGCCTGTCTCAGGAGTCCCTTCCAAGGGTGGGATTGACTCCCCAGTCTTCTCTATGTTCAGTAGGAATTAGTAGAAAACAACTCTCTCTTTCTGCCTTAGACATCAGCACTACAACACACACGGACAACCTGTTTCCCCGGCCTTATCCTTCCAGTACGGAGGCGGGTTTTCTCAGTGGGTCCTGTTGCGGCGCCTGTACACGACCAGCTGTTGTTTCTGCATTTGCGAGTGTATGTACTTTTCACTAGGGTTTGAAATTCACAGGAGAGCCTCCAGCAAAAATGCTGACCCAGGAGGGAGAGAATGACGAGTCAAAATGGATGCCAAACGGGGTGCGAATGCCGGGCCAAGCCTGAGTAAACAGGTGCAGGTGACTGTTGGAGGAAAACCTCCACTTACACGTCACAAAAGAAAACTCGCCACAGAGGAGTAGTAAGCCTATGAAACACCGAGCTTTTGTTTGGTGGATGCAACACTCCCATCAGAACTCAACAACAGGAAAGGCGGACGGCAGAGCCATGGTGCGGAGCGCTGCTCCTTTACCAGGCAGTTAAATCCTCAGAGGAAGCGAGTGACCAGAAGCCATGAAACCAATTATTACCCAAGACATTTATTACAAATGTCATGAACATATTCATAAAGTAAAACTGGTTTAAAAAACAGAGAGAGAACGGGAGAGCAAGGGAGAGAACGAGAAAAGCCAGGGCTTTGATATCACACCCAAAACACAGGAAGATGTTATCTTACGAATGAGCAGTATTAACTACATTCTTAAAATAGTTTTAGTGCATTGCATTTTTTAGAAAAAGGGAAATACCCCTGGCCCCAAGGAAAGGTTCCTGCAACACTGTTAACAGTTTGTGGGGCTGTCCCCATATGACCACCTGTCTGCAAACCCCGATTTGAGAACACTGAGGCCCCCCGTGCTCTGGGTGATGGCCGCCCGTCCACCACCACGGGTGAATCTGGTGGAAACAGCGCGATCTGCTCTCTCAACTGAGAAAGCAGACGCGCCCGTCAGTGAGACAAGCCTCGTGGCTGTTTCCCATCTTCAGGGGCCATTTCTCTTGTGCCTACTGAGACCTGTGACGAAATAACAGTCAAACTTCAATTGGATAGTTTTGGTATTAAGATTAAATTAAACATTAATGTTTTCCTCCAAAAACATATAAACTAAACCACCTCTTAATGCATTAAAAACAATGAGGTAGGCGAAAAAATAAACACGTGGCTGAAAAAAAATTTTTTTCCCTCCGCAAGTGCAGACCGTGGTGAAACTGCTGTTGCACTTCTAGGTTTAAACAAAAATTAAACCTTTGACTGAGGCAGTGCTAATACTGTCACACAACAAGGTTCTGGCCAGGATACAAATGCACACCTTTTCCTTTTTTTTTTTTTTTTTTTTTTGGTAAGAACATTTAGTTTCTTAGCAAATTTCAATTATACAATATACTGTTATCATCTATAGTCACTATGTTATTCATTAGCTCCTCAGACCTTATTTATCTTTTAACTAAAAGTATGCTGTTAACAACCTCTCCCTCTTTCCCGCATCCCCTCATCCTTGGCAACCACCATTCTACTCTATGTTTTTATGAGTGGTTTGTTTAGATTCCACACAAGTGAAATCATATAGTATTTGTCTTTCTCTGTCTGGCTTATTTCACTTAGTATAATATCCTCCAGGTATATCAGTGTTGTCACATATGACAGGATTTCCTTCTTTCAGTGCCAGAAACTGACTAATCAATCTTTGTCAAGAATTTAAACAACTAATTTCAATGTAATCAACTAAACTTACCCAGTTAATAAATGTAAGTTCTCTTAAACATAGTAATATGGTAGTTTTACAAGCTGTCATATCTTTCTACTAAAAATCACAAATCCGAAAACAATTACTCAATTTACTTTCAAATGCAATAAAAAAAAAAAAAAAAGAATTCCCAAGAAACCGAATGCCAAATGGGTCCCTAACCCACCCACCCCGCCTCCCAAGCCCCACCCACAAAAAAGTTATCCTAGTAACTGTGTCTTTCACATTTTATAAATATTAACTTCTTAAACCTGCACCTTCTTCTTTGTCCACATATGGTCACATTACAAAAAAGAAATGTCAATTAAATACACTGTTAATGTTACTATATTAAATCTGCTCTTGGCTTCAGTGACCTGCTCGTGCGAGCACACTTTACACCCGCTGTGCCCACTTCTAACCACCCGCCGGCGTGTCCGTTCTCCACCTGCAGACACCCCGGGACAGAGTCACAGACGAGGAATTCTGGAGCTGGAGGGAAGGCGTTTGCGTTCTGCCTGATGCTTGATTCCAACACCGATAGCACCTGATGGTAGAGTCTCAACAGCACCAGCTGCATTGCAGCCTTGATTTATTTCGAACGGGACAAGAAGAGAGTGGGGATGAACTGGTAAGAGCGGGCGGGAGGGGAGAGGAGACCCCCGCCCACACGGCCTGGGCGGCTCCGAGCTCCAGTTGCCAGGAATTCCAGGTTCTCATCTCGATGACTCCACTCCGGGGCCGGCATCCCCGCCCGCCACTCCTACCAGCTCAGAAGAGAGGTCCTGCCCAGCGTCATAAAGTACACCTGGCTGCTGCCCCCGGACCGGACCGAGGCAAAGAACACCTGCAGGAGGAGAGGGGAGGGAGAGGGGTCAGCAGCACCCTGGTCCCACAGCCCCAGGGGCCCCTCCCAAAGGAAACCTGGGGTGGTGTCCATTCGTCTGTGAAGGAGCCAGCTTTCATCCTGACCAGGAAGGCTCCTTAGCCAATGGATGACTCCTCGTACGTCGTGCCCTATTGTGAGAACGCAGAGGAACAAAGGCGGTGTCCCCGAAACGGGACCCTCTGTGTTCACCTCCACGGCTAATACCTTCTGAAAGATGAAGGGGATTTTGGCAAACTCAGGGCGCAGAGGGGAGGCTCCCCAGCTACCTCGTTTCTCTCTTTTAGAAAATGAAGCCGAGATGTATTAGTTATTTCATATGACTCTACAGTCAAAGTAATATAGTTTTGTGCCTTTTATTAATAAACCCCGATGGATGTGACATCATGAGTGATAAAAATATTTAAATGCCTGAAGTTCAAAGAATATCATGGTTATGGCTCCACTGAACATACTTAGGAAAGTGTAAGCCAAAAAGCTGGCAGAATCCTGGGTTAGGTCTGAGGTTGTATGGATTTTCAAGGTAAAAGATTTAGGAGGTATTATGTAGGAAAACAAAGGCCAAGTGCACCGGCAAATGGGCTAGGAGATTGCAGAAGGAGGTGGGCTGGTGGTGATGCAGCTCTTGAGTAGGAGAGCACGTGGCTGGGCAGGAGGCCCAGCTGACAAGGAGAAGTGACAGCTCTCTTCGTCTGAGAGGTCAACCTGAGGTCTGCTCGCTAGGAGGTTTAATATGTTTTAACGTGAAGCAAAAGGGGGAAATGTTTCTAAGGCTGCAGTGGGCTGCCCCAGGTGGTCAGACATATATTTATCCAAGTGACAGAAGACAGAGAAATTTGGGCTTAGAAAAGGCCCGAGGGGTCAACACCCTTGGCCAGTGTCTGTTCCACTCCAAGGCTGATCTGGGGAGGGAGGGAGTCAATCCCAGAGAAGACAAGGATGCGGCCAGTTTCAAAAAGCAAAGGTTTTAACTGGGGCTTTGATGCCCTGGGGTCTCACCTGCAGGAAGTACGCCTACTTCTGCATAAAATGATCTCCCCTCTTAGGCATTTATGCCACACAAACAATGAAATTATTTCACTACTCAAAAGGTAGACCAACAAGTGGTGTATTTCTGGTACGTATCAGGGAAGAGAAAGTTTCCCCGTTACTTAAATTTGCACGAGGGTTCCTTCTAAACACAAAAGAATTCCATCCATCTAAACTGGTAGCTTTAACCTTCTCTGTCCCTAAACCAAACGTAGCCTAGGCAGGCCACCTAATGGGGAAAAAAAACCCCGAAAGACAAAAAACAAAAACCCAACATAGGATGATTGCTGCAGAGGTAAACATCTCCACCCCCTCAACAAAATAAAATATATCATGACCTCCATGAACAGGCCTAAAAAGTCACTGCTGAGAAGTTCCTTGATAAATTTATTTCAGAATCCATCAAAATCCCAAGGAAAGGCTCCACCAAACTTCATGGAAAATAAACCATTGCTAAAAGATAGTAGCAAAAAAAAAAAAAAAGATAGTAGCAAACTAAAAACAATCCCTAAGGAAGCCGTTACCTTGTCGTTGCGTTCACATAAGAATTTCAGTCTTTGAGCCCTTTTGTGCATAAACACACCGTCCAAGTGGCCGGTCTCCACAGACCGGATCTCTATGGCCTTTTCTCCCCAGCCCATCGTCTGATTGGATCGAATATATGCTTTTTGAGAGGAGAAAACACATATTGTTAAAGGTAAGAAAACAGCCGTGGAAAGAAACTGCTCAGGTCTCTCTCTCTCTCTCTCTCTCTCTCTCTCTCTCTCTCTCTCACACACACACACACACACACACACACACACACACACACACACACACACACCACCCCTCTAAACAAAGGAACTCTGCATGTGCGCCCTCGTGGTCCATCCTGGGAGGCCGTACTTTGGATCAACAGTTGAGGCAGTTCACGCCGGAGCATCACCCGCCCCCCACCCCCCACCCCATAGCTTAGCTCGTATTTTCATCACACTAGTTACCAGGGAGGCAGCGAGAAGGAAAGCCAAGTGGACAGAACCAGTGGCGTAACTGCAATTAAACCAAAACAGTTTGGGGATATAAACTTGGAGCCATGAGGGTTCCAGAGGTCAGCCTTTGCTGCTGAACGCACAGGGACGGTCAGGAGGCTGAGTGTCGACTGCGGCTGGGCCACGGAATGGCAGGAGTGATCACTTACCCTTCTGTCTCCCCTCACTTCCCACACATCAGTCAACAACTACACCTGCCCTACTTCCCATGGCTGTCTTAAAGATTAAATGAAGGACTGTGAACGACAGAGTTTTAACAGATAATTACTTGGATTTTGTCCTAACATAAGACTATTACGTGTGTCACGGTCTCCACCATCTACTACCAGCCACTCTGTTAAGCGGCCAGAGGGTCTGAAGAACACGTAAAATCAGTACGCAAACTACACGCCTCTTTAGGAAAGGCCTCTTCCTGTCAGGGATGCGCACCTACAGACGTTGGCATCTCTCCCCACTGCAGAACCACGTCCTTGGTAATCCTTCCATAGGTGTTCACATAGACCCCTTCGTCTTCATAGCACACCAGAAGCTCCATTCCATCCGTGTTGGGGAGGATGATGATTGCGTGGGGTTTGATGCTGCACTGGATCTAGAGGAGAGGAACAAAGTACAGGCGAGCATGTTTGTGGCTACGTGTATCACTGCAAAAGGGCTCAATAAGAATGTCTTGGGGAATGCACTGGTTCAGATTCCTGGTGATAAACACAACACTGGATAACACTGTGGAAAACCCACGTGATATACATATGTATCTGAAAGTCCACCTTTGATAGGTCCTATAATCTACTAGTTCACGTTTTAGGAGCCCCTGGAACACATTTGGATTGGAGGCTCTGTTTAATCAATTATGTTCCTCTAACCAGTCCCGACCCACGGAGGTTCTGACCTGCCAGCAGCTGCCCAACCCTCCCGTGTTAGTGAAAGCAGGGCGAGGAGGTTTTCAGGAGGGCTTCAGAGCCAGGAGAGTGGGTCTCCACTTGGCTCGGAGCAGAGCGCTACTGAACAGGGGCGCCATTTAAATACTCACCCCCACAGCACAGGGAAAGCAAGGGATCCCTGCTTGTGTTAGTTCACTAAGCAGAGTAAAGAAAAAAGTCAAAATAAAATGAAGCCAGTCAACCAACCATAGAGTGTGGGTTCTTTCTTACGTGTGTTGGTAGATAAATGTCATAGACTGATCCTGAATCCACATCAACAGCATGGAATCCAGCACAGGATCCATAGATCACTTTCAACCTCTGGCCTTCCTCAACAGTGAGATCCACCAGTAATGGCTTATGCACCAAATCTCCAAATGACTACAAAGAAGCAACGGAGAGGGCAGCTGTGAGACGAAGCAGAACTGATTTCTGACGGTTCAAACTGGAGAAGCTAGACCCAGGCACGCCGTTACTCAATTACTGAACCACCCTGGCAAAAACCGTAAGCGAAACGACTCTGTACAGTAAGTCTTTAAGTTATTTTGCTCTCATCTGTCAGTCAGCACCAGCCGCTCCAACGCAGACAATGGAGAGAGAGCTGCCGCACGATACAGGCAAGGAGAATTTTATCAGTGGGATCGTCACAGTCTCTGCTGAGCTACTCAAACGTCCACTTTAATTTTCCAGCTAGAGTGATAAAGCTAACGAGAGGCTGCCACGTACCGTAACAGCCTGGGTGGCCTCAGTGTTTCATTAATGTCAACACGTATAGCTCATAAGGCAGACGTGAATAAGGTATTTATTTATAAAAGCACCTAGTACAGTTCCTGGTACCTGGTACATGAAGGTAGTTAAGACCAGATCTCAGGAGGTAACTGTAACTACACAATCAACAGCTTTTAGTCAATAATATGTGGCTTTATTTATTTTTTAAAGCAAATACGATAACCCCATTTATACTGCTTTCCTGGGGAATCAAGGAATAAGCAGTCTAAATATGTCAATCTTCCAAATAACGGAAGCCTACCCTTAATAAAATATGTCAAGACTATTTAAAAACGTAAGTAAATAAAATCTTTTTGGATACAAAATTCTTGACTTCTTCCCCTGCCCTAAAACAGCCCCGGGGGACAATGCTTAAGGTTTTTTGTCTAATATCAGAAATGATGTTATTAAGCGATTTATAATATCTAATGTTACAGTAATATCATTTTCAATTAAGAATTTTATAAATTTGTGTCTAGTGCAAACTCTAGAAGTATAAAAAAGAAATATTAAAAACATCCACAAAAATAACTGCTAATATTTTTCTACAGTATTTTTCTTTGAACAAAAGTGGTAAATTGTACATATTTTAACACTTGTTCTATTTAACGTGTAATAATGCATCCCTTGTGTCATCAAGAGTTTCTGCAACGTCATTTGTACTTAGTCCTCTACTGAACAGATATACCTTAAAGCTGCCTATTGCTGGATACCTGTCAAAAACATAAACATCTACATCTTCATAGACGTCCATGACTTCAGGTGGAAAGTCAAGGTCTGCTTTTTAAATGGAGGTGGTGTCAGTCTGTCCTTTCAATCCACGTGTCTGCCCAACATTCCGCTCCTCTCTCACACTCCGAGGACTTAGAAAGCTGATAGCTCTGCTCATTCCATTAGAAATGGCCTCCCGCATGATAAAGTTATACCAACATCAGCACATGCTTTTAAACGATCAGTTGTAACCATTCACGGTTGTTAGACGTATTCAATGGCTCTCGGCCACAGCGTGCACGGCTAATGCTACTTTTAAGTGCACTTGATGTTGTTACCTTAAAGGCCATAAATTTGTGATATGGCTTGGGTGCCCACGCATACACTTCCACAGAACTCTTCAAAGCAATGACCAGAAACTTGATTCTTTCATATTTTACTGCAACAACAAATAAGAGGAGCACAGGTCAGTATCAACGTGGACTCTAAATTCTTTCAGCTGTCCTCTGCAAACTCTCTAAATATGCCTTCTGCTGAGCCACCAAACCAACAAGAGAAAAATGCTGAGAGGTCAAGCCTCGTGGTTCACTTTTCCGATTCTTTAACGTACAATTCAGGCTGTTCCCATCCTCCTCCATGTTGTGCTGGACTCAACTTCATACCCTGGTTGCCATCGCTGAGCACTTTCGCTGATGCCCCTAACCTTCTTAGGCTGTAAGTACTTAACAATCAAGGACAAGGTCAGCCTTTCCACCCTACCACCTCGAGGGCTCGGTACTAGTTCAAAAGGATAATGATGTGATTTATCAGACAAGAGGGTCCCGAATCCCAGCAAGAGGTCAAATCTTCCATGTGGGCCTTTCCTGAGTCCTGCGTGGGGCTTACAGATGGAGGAACACAGAACGCTACGACAAAATACTCATCAACTGAGTTTGAATTCTATCTATTTCTGTGTACGAGATCAAGTATCATTTCAAACCACTTCCTGAGCTATAGAGACAGTAGTAATTGTTAGGATTTTAGCTAAAATTGTGTACTAAAAGTAAAGAAAATCTCTCTTTAACTTTATATATATATATATATATATATATATATATACACATACATATACATGTGTATATATATATATATATATACAGGCCTCCTTTACACAGCTGTTTCAGTCCTCTTCACAGCCAGCAACTCTGCTTAGAGCAGATACCCAGAGGGGCCCTGGCCACACCTGACTTACTGGCTGGTGCAGACTCCTGGTGTTTTCATGGGCTCTCTAAACCGCAGCACTCCGCCTTTGACCACGAGACTTGATACCTCTCCTTGTTGTTTCATGTATTGTCACTATTCAAGTGAATCACATGACTATTAAGATACAAAGGATTGTAAGAGGCTGTGCTGATGGGATAGAATTTTCTGTGATGGAAAGGTTTTATGTCCACCCTGTTGATATGACAGCCACTAGTCACATGGGGCTATTGGGCACCTGGAATGTACTAATGTCACTGAAGAAAGAAATTTTAAAGTTTATTTCATGATAATTAATTTACATATACATTTAAATACCCACCCCCCCACCCCCACCCCGCCTTCTGAGCCCAGCTCAGTTTAACACATCTGCCTCTCACTCTCCTGTAGGGTCATCTATTCAGGGACATTTCAGCTGTTATGAGCCATTTCATTACATTTATTAGCCTTAGACGATTTCAGTTACATATCAACAAATAAAAACGGTACACAAAAACACAACACAGGAAATTCTAATCCCGAAATCTATACCTAGGTGATAGAACCCTGCAGGATCACTCAGAATCAGTCCACTATGGGGGTGGCAGCCGCCCTCATTAGTAACCAATGAGCTGAGGGCCGTGGAGAGGTTACATAAACAAGACGACAATGCCAAGGATGTAATAACCCTGGGAGCAGAGGCACTGACTACAGTATGCAGTTTCATAAACACAGAGGAAAAGAAAACACACAAGCAGAAATCAACATTCAATACACCCCTTACGTTACTCAGTCTTAAGTATACAGTCTCTGTATACTTAAGACATATCATTTGCTAACCTTCTCAACCTCCCATTTCAAATTCAATTAGAACACATCACCTTGCCCATAAAACTGTAACTGGGCTAAGCTCCATTATTTCCCCTTTATTTCCAACACCAGTACCTATATTTTGATTTTCTCCCCCAGCACGAAAAAACTTATTTTGGTTTTGTTCTTGTGAGATCTTATTTCATGAGAAGCACGGCAGGCATGTTGAGGAGAAAGGAACAAAACGGTTGCCATGAAACACTGACTGGCCAGCAAGACTCATTTCTTAGTGATGAACAGAGTAGCTCTGTACAGCGCATTTAATTCAAACCAACAGGCCACAGCTACTTGGGCAAACTCTCAAACGTCCAATCAGTGACTGCCAAGGACCCAGAGTCCTCCAAGTGAGGACAAGCCTACAGCGCAAAGGAGGAGTCCAAACGTCTCTCCTCTGGCAACACTTCCTTCTTCTCTGCAAGATGTGAGCCACATCTTACAGAGTGTGGACTGTCCAAGCAAAGGGTGAGAAGAGGCTCACGACGGACGGCAGGGACAGCGGAGTTAAGATTAACTGCAGGCCTCAGGATTAGAAGGTGCCTCAGAAACATCCTGATACAGAAATGAGTTACAAGTCTCAGAGACAAGTTCAGTACTAAAAGCTTCAAACACACATGCGTTTTAAATGGAAGATTAATTCGACCTTGGCAAAATGAAAAACGCTTACGCCCGTCGTGGGACTTACCGACTTTATAGTGGACGCATCCCTCCAGATCTCCCACGGTCGTCCAGCCCTGCTTCTTCTCAACTTCTGGATCGTTGTGAAGTATTTTATTTCTTAGCCAGGACAGATAGTAGACGCGTAACTTATCCTTTTTGCCTAGCAAGACAAACATGAGTACTTTACACGCATACTCAGAAGTAGATATCATCATTAGCAACAACGGTAACCAAAAGAAACTGCAATAAACAATAAATATCATCCCCCTAGGGAAGCATTTTGTATCAGTTTCACTAGCAACTCAATTCAAGCTATTATGTCATCTGATTCTCAAAACCCTCTAGTGTAACTATTATTTCCCATTTGAGAGCACAAAAGGGTTTCACAGATCACCCAACTTGGGGGCTTGAATCCAGCAAAAGGTAAGCCATCAACTGGAGATGGGCACAACTTACAGAGCTAACGGAAGACTCACACCCAGAGCACGTAAAGAACTCCCATAAATCAATTAGAAGAGAGATAACCTAGCAGAAATACTGAGCAAGCACCTAGAACAGACAAAAGATGTTATCACACAGATTCATAAAAAGGTACTTGCTCTCAACAGTCTGAAAAGGATACAGGCTGCATAAGCCCACCTATGACATTCTGGAAAAGGCAATATCGAGACAGTTAAAAAAAGACCAGCGGTTGCCAGGGGCTTTGAGGGAGGGAGGAGTAGGTGGAGAACCAGAGGGTTTTTAGGGCAGTGAAACTGGTCTGTATGAAGCTGTAACGGTGGGTAAAATTACGTGTGGGTCGAACCCAGAGCACACACACACACACACAGAGAACGCTAATGCAAACCGTGGACTTCAGCTAACCTGTCAGCTGAAGTATTAATATTGGTTCATCCGCGGTAACAAATGTACCGCATTAGTGCGAGAGAATAGGGGAAACTGGAGAGGGCCAATATGGGGACCGTCTATACTTTCTGTTCAATTTCTGTGTAAACATAAAACTGCTCTAGGAAAAGAGCCAGACACAAAAGAGTATCTAGCGTGTTCTGAGGTGTTCAAAGTCAGGACAGGGCTTCCCTCTGGGGAGGAGGGGGGCTGGGATGGCTCCCCTCGTCCCCAGGGTGGGGGGCTGCGTGCATGGGTTCTAACTGTGACTCTTCACGGAGCCGTCCACCATTTACGCGTCTGTGCACTTTTCTGTGTCATGTCTTATACTTCAACACAACCTTGTTAAGTTTTGAAGAATTTTTGAATGTGGGAAAATACTCAATATATTAAGTGAAACAAAGACGACATCGTTTTATCTACAGTGTTTTATTCCCACGCTATGAGATACATTTACAGAAACGAGGAGGGGGAAATACAATAAAATGTTAACAAGAGGTATCTCTGAGATGGGGGTTACATTTTATTTTATTCTTCCTAAGTTTTCTTCTGTTTTCGAAGTTGCCTACAACTGACATGTATTAATTACTTTTATGATTTTGAAAACCACTGAAAGCTATAAAGAGGAAAAGAATACCGAAAAGTAGACCCAAAAACGGGTATCAGTTGATTACTGATCCCCATGAATCATCTTGCTCACTGGATCACAAAATGAAGTTTAAACCATTTTTTAGCTGATTTATTTTTCCTACAATTCTAAAACTTATCTTCCATCACTTTTTAAAGCTCAGGTTTTAAATGGTTGTTTTCTCATTTAAGTATGAGATGGATGGTGAAATTTTTGCATTTCAATGAACATCTTAAACCAAAAGCCTATTTGAAAACTAAAATAACTGCCAGAAATCTGTTACACATAAATAAATATAACAAGTTTGAGTTAGCAGATAATTAAATCAAAATCACTGCTGGTTATCAGAGGACAAGTCTTACACTTTTACATACTCTTTGACCCCAGCGAAACCACAAATTATTAGGAGATTATGATCTAGGTAACATGGATTCATATGCCCGATGGTTAAGTGAGCTGCAAAGATACTTGTGAAAAATGTTTACATGAGAGGGAAAAAAAGGAATAAATGGAAAGACTAACAACAGAAAATAGTAAACAAACTATAGTACGTCTATGCAAAGAAACATCCTGTAGCCGTGCAGAATGGGTACCATGAAGGAACATTCAGGGACAGGAAGAGAGTAGCCCACAAGGTTTGGACAAACAAGAAAGGACGGGATACACTTAAACTTCAGGGCAGTGGCTACCAAGGGCAAGTAGATGCCAAATGTATGCATAGCAGTGTATTCTAACATCTGTTAAAAACTATCTTGTCAGTATATGGGTGTCATATTATTCTCTCAATGTTTGAAATGTCGCAGAACTATTTTTATGGAGATTTCCCCCCCAAGTGTGTATTCCGAGTGTGTGTATGCTTAAAAGACTGGAAATTAAAAACCGAAGTTAACAGATGTTATCTTCGGATAATTTTACTATTTATTTCTCCCATTTGCTTTTCTGCAGTAGTTTCTTACTTTCTACAAGGAACACATATAATTTATACTAAGAAAGATGCTCTTTCTAAAAAGACACTTACAGTAAGTGTTGACTGACATTAAAAAAAACCCACGATACTTTTACCATCAATGGCAAAGAACAGTTCCTTGTGCGTGAGAGAGCCCTGTGAGAGGGAGTGGACATAAACCCACACTCTGAATGGGACAGGCTGCAGAGGGCGGCGGCAGGGGGGCGGGCAGTGTGAAGTAGGAAGTGCAGGTTCCTGTGCTCCCCGGGACCTCTCAGCAGAGCCCCAGGCAAATGTGTACACGTGGGTCCCCTCTGAATACATTTTCCTACCACGTTACTGTAAAATCACGCTACGGTTCTAGGTCATTTAGCTATTACTTCAGAAAAGGAACTCACTCGAGTTCTGTGCCAGCGAGTACCACGTTTTTAAACAGTGCTGGGGGCCTGCTTTCCCCGAACACACGCTTACCAGATATTGTCACCAAGACATTCAAGCCTTCCAGGACGTCCATCTGTTGAAATCGTCTTCTGTTGATCAGAGGATACACCTTCCCTTGGCCACTTCTGTCCAGCAGCATCAGGCCACTCTCTGTACCCACCAACAAGTTCACTCCTATTTCAAGGACACAGAAAGCCCACAATTTTACAGTGTGCTTGACAAACAGCCTTCTACGGAGCGGATAGCAAAGCCTTATCTGGAAGAGTGGTTTCCTCAAGCCACCCACAAACAAGAGAGCTTAAAGTACCCAAACTGCAACAAATCACCACAGAAGAGAGGATGAAATACTCACTTACATGTAAAAAAGGATCTGGTGGGGGTGGGGGTGGGGGTGGGGGAGAGACACGAGCCCGCCTCATCCCCGATTACCTTCACCACCCTCCAGTTTCCGGTTCTTCCTCAGTTGCCCCAGGACGTCCCAGCCCACCGTCTCCTGGGTACCAGACTCTCCATCTCATCCGTCACATCAGACACCGGAACAAACCTTCGTCTGATGTCACGATCCCCGCCTGCTTCCTTCACCTGTCTTTTCACGGGAAAACTTCTAGAACGAGCCATACACAGCCCCCTTAGTCCTTAACAGTTGTGACTGCTCTGGCGTCTATCACTCAGTTTAAGGTTTTCTTAAAGACCACCCTCCATCATCCTTAAGAAAGGAACAGCTGCATTCGGTCCTCGCTCCCTGCGGTTTCTCACCAGCAGTGCGCGGTGTGGAGGCTGGGGGCGGGGGCATGCCTCCCGGCCGCGGGCCCATCCCGGCTCCACCCTCTCCAGCCTCGTCTTCCTAAGCGCGAGGGTCTCCCTTGCTGTCTGTCTGTCTGCTGGAGCAGGACCTCAGAACCAGAAACTCCTGATTCCACCCCCAACTCCCGGCTCGTCCGTCCACTTCCAGTCCTACCGAGACCAGCCTCTCGAGCCCTGACGTTTCTATCAGCAGCAGCGCCAGCACAGCTGCTCCATGAAGCTAGCCAAGCTGACCCCGCCCGAGAAGACCCCCCTCACGTTCCTGTTCCTCTGCTCTCCCCGCTTCAGGCTCTGGCCGCCTCACACCGCAGATGGGTAGAGGCCTGAGGTGAGGCTGCTGCGACCCCCTCCCTCCCTCTACTTTCTCGCGACTGTACCGCAAACAGCCTTAACCTTCCTGCAACACTCATCGGGCCATACTATGCCCTCAGAAACGGCTCACTCTCTCTCCGAGAGGGTACAAAAGCATCCATCCAGCATTCAAAACTCTCTGCCCCTCAAGCCGACTTTATCATTCACTTATTTTCCCAATTACACTGATTTCCTTGGTCTGTAAGCTTGGTTGCCTAAACTAACTTGGTAACTTGTAGCACAGAGCACCCTGTACTCCTAGGGGATCGGGCACATCTATGTTTGCACTGAGTCCCTAAACTGGATAATAAACTCGCTGAGTGAAGGAACAAAGTATGTGTGCTTTTACAAAGTCATCACTCCATCAGTATTTTCAGGCAGATGGAATGACAGGGGAGAACAGCATATATTTCTTGAACCACGTCATCCACATTTATTCAGACACACACACACACACACACACACACACACACACACACACACACACGCTTTTCCAGAAAACTTCAAAAGAACAATTGTGAAGCCAACAGGAAAACCCCCCCCCCGCCCCCCCCCCTCAGCTCCATGCCTATTTGGTATTGAGTGGGGGAACCCTAGCACCAGGAGGACAGCATCTACCCAAGAAAACCTTGTGAGGAAACCAGAAACACCTTTTGGGTCCTGGGGGACAGCGGGGAACCTGGCATTTACACACGTACTCACATCACCGCTACTTTAGCAACTAACAGAGTGCCAGGCACGCATGGATGCGGTTACCGATACGCTGAAGCGCTGTATGCTGCAAGCTGGCAAGCTAAACTGCAGTCCAACTTTAGCTGACAGCCAAGGAGTTCATTCCGAAGGTCCCAGTTCAAACAATATTTCAACATTTTCCTGGTCGACCTTCCATATCGAGAAGCTAAAAAAAATCTACGTCAACTACCCAAATGTGTAATAACTACACCAAATACGACGAGCACTGTGAAATCTATTATTTGTGGTTTCCAAAAACAAACACCATTCAAACCTCCATCAAGAGTTTACAGCAAGAAAGATTCAGAAGAGCTGAAAAAAGTCTTCATATACACAAAAATTGTAGCTATTTTAGCACTTACCATATTTTCCAATTCTCCAAGAACTGTGTCATTTTGTAAAATACTGAGCGCTAGCAGTCAAAAGAATACAGACAGTCACTGGAAAATAGCAACCTTGGAAATTATGGGCCTATGAAAAAAAATTGTGGCATGCTGCACCAATTGTTTTTTTGTTTGTTTGTTTGTTTTTTGTGGTACGCGGGCCTCTCACTGTTGTGGCCTCTCCCGTTGCGGAGCACAGGCTGCGGACGCGCAGGCTCAGCGGCCATGGCTCACGGGCCCAGCCGCTCCGCGGCATGTGGGATCTTCCCAGACCGGGGCACGAACCCGTGTCCCCTGCACCGGCAGGCAGACTCTCAACCACTGCGCCACCAGGGAAGCCCACCAATTGTTTTTATAAATGTACTTTTTTTAACCTTACAATTGTTAGTTATAATTAACCTTTATAATGCTAATTGTTCAGCGGTAAGCAGGGCTAGGAATTGCAATTGTATCCGCAGGAATCTGGTGCAGGGTGATGGAAGAAATGGCTAAGAGCTCTATAACATGTGATTTAAAATTTCCTTTCAATTCTACAATGAATTACACTGTAGTCAAAGCAGCAAAGTAAGTGCACACAATTCTTCACGATCATAAGAATGGAAACTACTATCACATCCAAAAGATGTGTTACAATAGTTCTGGCTGTAAATAAGGAGAAACTGCCTTACTACAAAATTATATAAATATGCAGTAATTTACAAAAGTCAGTTCAGTAAGACGAAGGATGCTCACTGCAAGCGTTTTCTAGGAAGGTACACGAAAAACTAACCTAAGGCGGGTCAGCAAAACACAAATGCGTCAATTTCACCATTTCAAGAGCACTGCAGCCTCAACTGAACCTCCTCCTCTTGTCAGGCTACAGCTCTCATAGCACACATGCTTTAACTTTTCTGGGTCTATGTCTCTGAGAGACTTATTTTTAACTTCACTTAAAAGGTAACTCATGACAGCTATCCCAAGCAGTTTAAGGAGATCCACCAGTGATGTGACCCAGACACGGGGCAACTCAAACACACTCGGATATAGAAGTCACCTATTTTAAGTCACCTCCCTCTCTCTTAACATGATGAAACAGAGTTCTACTGCATTTTAAAAGACACAGGCTTGAGAGAGTCACCTATTTTTCTCAGAGGTAGTGAGGAAGTTAATTAGGAAAAAGAAGGATTTTAGTTTAAAAAAAAAAAAAAAAAATCAGATAATGGCCCAGAGAATGGGGCCCAGAACTTCGCAGGACATTAGAGGACTATAATGACACGGCTGCCAAGGGCAAACATCCTAGGCACAAATTACTGCGCCAATTTGGAAAGAACTAACATATTTAACATTACTTCTACGCTGAACATAATGTCATCATTTTGATGATATAAACACCCCCAAGAAGGCCTTTAATATGAAGAAAACCGTGCCTGCAATGGGCAGAGACGGCTCTTCCAAAGCCCTCAGGGGAGCGGGGTGGGGTAGGGGCTCACGGGAGGGGCAAGGGAAGCCAGGACAGACCAAGGCCCAGAGGGCGGAAGAGGAGGACAGTCTATCAAGTTACGGGCCCTTCCGGAACGCCAGGAGGGAGGACCATCTCGAGGTTCAGC